AGAAAGAAAGAAAGAAAGAAAGAAAGAAAGAAAGAAAGAAAGAAAGAAAGAAAGAAAGAAAGAGGAAGAAAGAAAGAAAGAAAGAAAGAAACCCTTTCTCCTTTAACTATGTTTTCACTAGATTTTTTTGGTCACCATTCGTAAGCCTTGATCTTTAAATAGATTTTTGGATACGGGGATCACACCCATCAATTCATCTAACTTTAGCTCCCATTTTCCGGAACTGTCTGCACCGTGAAGCTACATGAGTTTTCACAAATCAATGTTGTGCTTCTTCATCATTTGTCTTTTTGAGCAAAAACATCACAGGAAGGATAAACTTCTTTTATGCCTTCTTTTATGTCTTTCCCAGCTTTGCTTGGGATCATCTCATGGCTTTGAAACCATTGATCTGTACCTCTCTGCTCAGGCTTTTTATCATCTTTTTCCAGATTTGGCCAATCCCATAGCACTGAGCATAAGGGATCTTGTGAATCTGACAATGCTTTTTTTTTTTTTCTTAACCTACTGTGATAGAAGACATCCCCTGACATCTGCATTGCCTCCAAATACACCCTTATCCCTGAAACCTGAGCATATGGTACCTTATACGGCAAAAGGTACTTTGCGGGTGTGATTAAGTTAAAGATTTTGAGATGGGAAATTATCCTAGAATATCTGGGTGGGCCCAATGCAATCACTCCGGTCCTTAGAGAAGGCAACAGGCTGGTCAGAGTTAGAGAAAGAGGTGTGGCAAGGAGCAGAGGTCTGAGGGATGTAAGGAAGGAACCAAAATCCAATGAATGCAGAAAGCCTCTAGAAGCTAGAAAAAGCCAGCAAATGGCTGGAGTCTCCAGAAGAAACGCAATCTTGCCAGCGCCTTGGTTTTACCAAATGAGACTTATTTCAGACTTCTGGCCTCTAAAACTATAAGAAAATAAACTGGTGTTGTTTCATACTGCTCCATTTGGGGTAATTTTTACAGCAGCCAGAGGAAACATATCCCTACACAGAATGGATGAAGGAAATACCCCCATCCACAGCTATGGAGCCTACATGAGCTTCAATCATGATTTGACATTTTTGACCAGGGAGCACAGAGAATGTTACGAATAATATCCAGTCCAAGGAAGTTGGCCAGGTCCTTTTTGCCTGGGACCTTCTCACAAATTAGCTCAAATGGTCTACATGCCCCTTTATCCTCCTGCAGCAAGACTCTCTTCAGATATATGGCCCTTGGGACCATCAGATGAGATTTTGGTTCCTTGAATCCATGTGACTAGTGTTTTCCCAGTGGGTCTTACAGGGAGTATAGCTAGTGCTTTCCTATTGTGCTAATCTTTCTTAGAAAATGGAAAGCCACTTTCTTGATGGCTCCCTTTATGCCAATTTTGTAAGGTACTTGTGTCTGCTTGACCACTGCGGTGCTTCTGAGCGGGGTCTCCAACCATTGCCACCTGCTTTTTCTAGACTGCCTGTTCTTCAGTGAGACTTGGCCAACAGGTCCATGATGGCAACAGCTTTCCTTTCAAAAGAACTGCCCTTCCTCTTCCTCTGTGTCATGGTCTCCTGGTTTGAGTGGACACTGCAGAAGGACCCCTGTTGCCATGGTATCGGACACCCATAAGATTGCTCCCATGGAACTGCATATGGTGACATTTAGTCCAGAAGCTGGCAAATGTTCATGAACTATGTATTTCTTCCAGACAGTGGTTCTCTAACCTGGCTGCATTTTATAATATCACAAGATGCTTTTTAAATAATTTAAATAATTTTAAATAATACTGATGCCTGAGCCCCACCCTGTCCCAGTTAAACCATATCTCTGGGAATAGGACACAGGCATTGGTTTTTAATTTTAAAAGAGCAAAACCACAACCCCCCCCCCAATGATTTTAATGTGCAAGCAAGGTCAAAAGCCATTGCCCTCAGCTCTTGCTTACTATACAATTCAGACCCCAAATCCAATCATCTCCTGACCGCCACTGTAGGGCCTGGATCCCAGACAAATATTTGTCATTGTATGCAGAGATTTTTCAGGCTTGGCTATGGAGGAACTACCCTCGCGTGTGTTGCTGTGCAATGCATTTTGAGCAACATCACATCGCCCCAGTTGTGTGCCTCTAGAGCTTGTGGCTAAGGCCCTTGGAGCAGGACTCATCAGGCTCTCTGGCCAATCTCTGCAAACCAAAGTGGCAAGTTCTTCTTTTAGGCAGATGACCAAAGTATGAACACATTTATTATTGGAAACCTCTACTGCTTCCAGCAATGCCTGAACTCTACCAGGGGGCGGGGTTCAAGGCTTTAAGGAACGAGTCCCCCTACCATCTTGTCTGGGAAGTTTCCTCAGGAAGCCTGTCCTGGGACAGCTTGAATATATTATGATGTCATATGGCTCCAAGTTGTGTTTCTCCCTAGGCGGCAAAAGCAGATGTAAGTGGTCAAAAGGGATAGGACAAGGATAAGGAAGAGTGTGCAAAGAAGACCTAGCATCATGGGGCTGGGATTGAAATCCTCAGAAAGGCCTGCTTGCAAGACTGGCCCTTCTCTGGCCCCTGGGCCCTTGGAGTTCCCACCACTCCTGATGAGAGGGGTTCACCGCGTCAAAACTGCTCTACAAACTAGGACAGCGCTTCTCTGTCCAGTGACCCCAGTGGATGCAGGGGCAACAGCCTGATTTTTCTTCCCATCCCATGTCTTGCACACCAGGTAGGATGATGGACCAGAGAATGGGAAAACCTCCCCACCTCATGGTTGCCGATTAGCTCGACCCATCACACAGTGGTTTTCACAACATGGGTCACTACCCAACAGCACCAATGGATCACAACCCTGCACATTAGAATCACCTGGAAGGTTTTAAAAATGTGGCTGCTAGGCCTTGCTCCAGACTTTCCAGCTGAGAACCCCCACAGGTGTGGTGTCAGCATCTGTATTCTGCAGGGCCCGGCAGGGGCATCGAACCAGTAGGATCCATCGGCCAGTGGCTCATAGGCTCAAGGTGCTGAGTCATGACCGTCATTTTTTCAAAAATTAGGTAGAAAAGAATGCATGGACTGACCACGTTTTGATGTGAAACGTTTTTCCTGACCTACATGTCAAATAAAAAATGTTGAAAAACCACTGCCTGAGGGCATCCAGCTGTACTCTGCTTTCATCCGGGGCCTGGAAGGAGGGTGTTGCCATCTTTTTTTTGGCCCAGATTCTCATAATCCCACCCAGGCCAATCGGAGGGAATGGTGGGGCCCCTCACCACCACCATCTCCAGAACTTAACTTTCTTGCCCCCCTGCACCTCTCACTCTCCCTCCTTCTCACTCTGTCACCCTATTTATTTTTTGTTTACCATCTGATTTTACCCCCTGCTGGAATGTAAGTTCTACAAGAGTAAGGCTCTGTTGTGTACACTGTAGCGATCCTCGCAATGTAGAACAGGGGGTTCGGTAGGCTCCCGACAGACTTCTCTCCAGGGAAAGGGCTGACTGCCCACCTATCCTCCTCATGGCTTCACACCACACACTTCCTGTCTGGCACCCCCTGACTGCCCCATCCTCTGGCTCTGGAGGACCTGACTACGAGGCAGAAAGGGGGCTGTGACCTCTTCATGACTTGGTCCCCCCAAAATGCTCTCAGCAAGAAGAGTAGTTATGAAAAGCTTCCTGAAGTGTGTCAGACACCTTTGGTGCCTCCTTCCCACAGGCTGTGGGGATCCTCCAACACCTTTGTCACAGGGAGGAGTTTAGAGCTGAGGGAGGAAGACACTGGGTTCAGGCTGGTCATTCTCGGACCCCCCGTCCAACTAACACCAGGAAGAGAAACGTCTCCGGCACTCCCCAGATCAGGGAGTTTCTCCTGACTCCAGCTGGCATTTTTTGCTTTGAATTGTCTCCCTCTTGTCTGGGTTTTGTTCTACTGGTTTGAACCCAGAATCTTCCTCTCTGCACTGATGACTTTTTTGGATTGTGTGTCTGGTTCTTTAATTCAGAGCCTCTCCGCCCACGCCTCCACCCCCGCAAAATAATGCTTCTCTAATTGTCCCAGGGCTCCATGCACTGCAGTCTGAGGCCTGAGGTTGCCCCAATCCCCGAACATTACCAGCTGCTTACATGCCCTTGGTGTGTAAGGGCTGGCGCTACTAAGAGATGGGAAATACGGGTAGACCCTTCTGGTAGCTAGTTTTATGTGTCAAGTTGTCTGGCCCATGAGG